TGTCTCGGTAAATCGTAAACCTGAAATCGCTAATCACTCGACCTGTCGAGCTGTCGTCCCCCTATAGCACAATACACCTCTAATTAACACTTTCCCCACTAGGGTTGACCACACTATAACAAGTCAATCTAGGTCAACGCTGGTCAACGGTCAACGGTCAACTTTGACCGGACTCGGCGAGTACCCAGGCAACTCGGCGAGTCTGGGCGTATACACCAATTTCCCTGGAATCCTCCCTTGACACGTCGAGCATTCCCTCAACTCGACGAGTTCCACCTAGCACGAGTTGTGGGGCCACCACGACTCAACTCGCCGAGTCTCAAGAACAACTCGGCGAGTCCAGTTAGACTCAGTCCACCTGTCCATTCTGACTCCCCTTGACTCACTGAGTCCACCTTTCCCAACTCGGTGAGGCCACTCACAGAGTGGTCGGGCAACATTCATGCTACTCGCCGAGTCTGTTCTTCAGACTCGGCGAGTCCATGCCATGCACTGACTCAATCTTGCTCTAAAGGTCAGATCTAGTTCATTAATCCATAGATCCATTCCCTCCAAGCTCATTTAGCATGTAAAGTTACAGTCTTGATGCACATACAACCTCTATATGACCATATATGATGTTTATGACTCAAATACTACAACACAAGTGTCACACCCCCAAACCAAGGATGGCGGAAACGTCCGGGGTGGAGGACTTCATGTATAGCATCATAACCACAATTTTAATAGTAATTTAAGCAAACACAACCAACATATATATAATTGAAAAAGTTACATCACTTGTATGAATTACATGTTTCAAAATCAATTACAATATGTTGTCAAAATGTGAAAAGTTTGACGCCTTAACGTCCCATCCTCAAAAGCACTTGATAACCTGATTAGTGTTTTCCTGTGAATACAAGTTATTTGAAAAGTGTCAACACAAAGGTTGGTGAGTTCATAAGCTTTTATTAATAAACTTAGTAGGAGTATTTCACATGTAAATGTCGCGTTTGTTTCAGAAAAATCCGGTATTTCCCTTGAAATCCGAGAAATGTAGCCTTATAACCAAAGACTAGAGTGTATGAGAAATCATCGTTTCTTAGTAACAATATTGTGAGCTTAAAATGTTATGGAAAGTAAAATTTCTTTTATCAACCTAAAACCTACTTCGGTTTTATGAAACCCCGTAAACTTCATGAATTGTTATCCCCCTAAGTGAGTCGCTATAATCATACTGTGACTATGTGAACCTGCCACAACGTTTCTCAGGCGTCGCGAAAATGAAATGACATTTGTCACCCGTAGACCTGCAGGTCCCACTGTAGCTAGCAGCAAGGTGTGGGGTGTCAAACCCAATATAGATCTATATACAAGTATCACGTTCTCCCTCAAGGAGATTCTGATTATAACTACCAGGAATTATATCCCGCACTCGGACGTACGGGGAGAGAGAGAGAGAGTCTCACAACATAGGTTAACAGGTTTACGTGAAATGTGTGTGAATATAAATCTTTCTTGTATGGATGTACCCTTTTTGGTACGAGTGCGTTGAGTGATGTATCATAAACTATACCTATTATAGTTTATCTAAAATGTATGAATCCTCTTATGGAAATGTATTAGTATTGTGAATTTATCAAACTATACTTTTTATAGTCTAATGATACGTGTTCCAAAATGAATGAGTAATATTTAATATTTAGTATGAATTTCATAGTTTCAGTTCATAATGGTAAACTAACAAGGAAACACATACAAATACTAAAACTTATGATTATACACTTTGCTCAACATAATACAAAGTGTTATGATATTTACATGCTGTTGGCAAAATTTAGCGATTCTGCCCTGTTTTGGAAAAATCATAGAAAAATCATACGAAGTCGAAATCTAGATCCGTAAACTCTGAAAGTTCACAAAATGTGTCTATTTTGTTCATAAGTTTTATCACAAATTAATACGACCTCTAACTTGGGTGAAAAAGTCCAAAATCACAGACTGGTCCGGATTGTTGTTTGAAATGATAGGCAGTTTTGTAAAAATCACCATAAATTGTAGAAAAATCGTATGGAGGTGTGCAAGTAGCCATTTTAAAGCTAAAAACTAGAACTATTTGCACCTTGTACAGTTTTGAAAACAAAAATATTTAAGATTCCCAAAACAGACCGTGAATGGAGTTGAACGTTTCTGATGAAGGCTGTTAGAAAATTTTTGATAGGTTCTTAGTGTTTTAACTTGTATTCACCCCCTGAAAACTTGAGAAATTATGAAAATGTAGGGGTATGAACTCACCTTGAGTGATTTCAGTAGATGATTGTTGAAGAATGGAAGTGTTTAATTCAAGAACACTTGGAGATGCCTTGAAGGTTTTCGAGAATCTAACATCATAGTTAGGGAGTTTGTGTAAGCAACCAAAGATTTGAGTAGAATGAAGTGAAATAACAATAGGGAGGATGAATTTTTACTTACTAAGTGTGGAAGAACACTTGAAATCAGCCTTGGATCTCGAAAATTTGTGTAGAAGAGTTTGAGAGAAAAAGTGGTGTTTGTTACTTAGTGGAATGAGAGAAATGAGAGAAAATGAGGAGTGTGGTTGTTTGTTCCAGCTCAAAAACGTGGGAGTGAGTGAAATTTGAGTGTAAGGGAACATTGAAGTGACATAGGTAAGGTGGGGAGGTATGGCTGGTCATAGAGTGGGTGTGGGGTGGTTGCTTGTGTCATAAGTTAAGGCAAAGTCAACACTCTACCTTAAATAAATCCCCCATTAAATCTTTATTATTTAATTAATGATTTTTATAAAAATATGTTTAAATTATGAATATTTAGGGTTTATTATGTTAAAATAAAATTTCTGGAGAAAATCCCGCTTTAAAATCACGAAAAACGGGCTTAAAATGTTAAAAATATCAAAAATGGGCTGAAAATGACAAAAATGCGAAGCCTGGCCGAGGTTCGGCCCTCTTATGCTGAACCGAGAGAGAGAGGGAGGCGGAACCGAGAGAAGAAGAAGAGAGAAGGGAAGAACCGAGAGCACGAAGAGACAGAGAGGAGAGAAGGGAACCGAGAGTGCGCGAGAGGCAGAGAGGCGGAGTCGGACCGAGAGTGCGCGAGAGGCAGAGAGGCGGAGTCGGACCGAGAGTGCGCGAGAGGCAGAGAGGCGGAGTCGGACCGAGAGTGCGCGAGAGGCAGAGAGTGGGGGCGGACCGAGAGGCACCGAGCGCTCTGTCGTGAACAGTACTTTCGGTTCCGGTTCTTGCTTCTTGCTCTCGGTTTCGGTCTTCTTACTTTCGGTTCCTAAGAGGACCTTTCGGTCCTAAGGAACTTCGCCTCTTATAAGAGGGTTTCGGTTCCTAAGGTCCATTTTTCTCGTTTTCGCCCCGTTTTAAGCCGTTTTTGACCCGGTTAAGGGCCGGAATGACCCGAATGATTCCAAAAAGTTACGGGAAATTTTTGAGAGAGATTTGGGAGAGATTTCTCACACTTGGAGAGATTTGGGAGAGATTTAACATTCTTGGAGAGATTTCTCATACAAAGAGATATTTGCGAGAGTTTTCACATACTTGGAGGGATTTGGGAGAGATTTAACATTCTTGGAGAGATTTCTCATACAGAGAGATATTTGAGAGAGATTTCACATACGTGGAGAGATTTGGGAGAGATTTAACATTCTTGGAGAGATTTCTCATACAAAGAGATATTTGCGAGAGTTTTCACATACTTGGAGGGATTTGGGAGAGATTTAACATTCTTGGAGAGATTTCTCATATAGAGAGATATTTGAGAGAGATTTCACCTACTTAGAGAGATTTAGGAGAGATTTGACATAGACAGAGATAGAGTGAAAACGATTGAGAGAGGATCCATGTGGGACAGTTGTGAGTGTCCGGCACCGCAATGCATGGTTCGTAAACCCTGTTAAGCCTTGTTTTAGGATCTTACACATTCCCGATGAGTATGCAACATGGTTTTCATCAGTTTAATTCACTGATTAGTACTAAGGCTTAGGAAAATTTTTAACACAAAACTATTCTCTAGTGATGTTTTCCCATTAATATAGCAAGTTATACAATACGAACATAACACCAACCCTAATACACAAGGTTTAATAGAGTTGGCCGGCTTGACTTGATGGCTTGACTTGACTCAAGATTGACGATTGTCACAACAAGGTCAAAGACTCTATTATCACTCATAAAGCTTGATGAGTGAGGCTCTCTAGACCTCTATGGATCCAGATCCATGGCCTCAACTCAAAGAGGGAACCAATGGGCATCAAATCATCCCATAAATGACCACCACAAGCCCTAAATTGCATCATGCTTCACTAAACAGAAAATGGTCCGAGATAATACCTCTAGAGTGATGATCTAAGCTCCAAATCCACGAAATAGCAACCTCCTTTACTTCCTCTTGCCTAGGATCTCCTTCTTCTTGCTAAATCACACACACAAGATCAAGAATGGCTCCTTTCTCTTCACAAATAGCTCAAGCACACAAGGGTCACTCACTGAGGGTTGGGTGAGCACAAATGACGGCCATAAGGCCCTTTAAATAGGCCTCAAACCTGGAGATTTAGGGTTTCATTACACAGCGCAGACTCGCCGAGTCCATATCCTGGACTTGCCGAGTCCAGGCGCGCACCAATGTTCAATTCCGCGTCTCTACTCGGCGAGTCTGAGCTCCAACTCGCCGAGTCCCTCTCACAATATGACAATATTAGATTTACAAGATACCTGGTAAAATCCGGATGTTACATTTTTATAATTTTTTTATAACAAAATAAAAACAATAACGATAAAATCTCTCTCTCTCTCTCTCTCTCTCTCTCTCTCTCTCTCTCTCTTCTCTCTCTCTCTCTCTCTCACAGAGAACGTCATTACCCTTACTCCCTCACCCAGGCTTTACTCTCGCTGGAAATCGTGAACACCACCAGCAGAAAAGATGAACACCACCGACAGAAAAGATGAATGCCACCAGATCGAAGCTTTGGCAGCGAAACCCTAACCCTAAAAGTTCTAGGTTGTGACACAAAGATCGAAGCTAGGGATTGAATCGACCGCAACCTCTGAAAACCCTAGGCTTTTAGGAAATGAGAATGGCCGCAGCCTCTGAAGCTGAAGCTCACCTGAGGGTCGTTTGATGGAGCCAGGAGGGTCGAGAGACGGCGTGGTCGATGCTAAGGCTTGTGTTCTGTTCATCTTGAAACCGTTATCGTCTTCTTTCTTCTTCTGATTCAATCGGTCAGCAACACACGAAGGAGGAATAAGGACTCTAGTCCTCTGCCTTTGTTTGATTGAGAAGAGGGACCAGACTGGAAGCAACAACAGATTGAGGGGGATGTCTTTTTACCAACAACAGTGCAATACCGGAGGCAATCGTCAAGTCTCTAAATCAAGAATCATCAGCTACGACATCCATGTTCAAGAATCAATAATCATCACCAGAAAAAGTCCAAGTTCAAGAAATCAAAAAACCAAAAAAAGTTTTAGGATTACTTCTCTATAACTCAAGAATCATCAGTTATATCATCGATTCAATATCAGATCTAAATAGAGTCAAAGCTTTGTCATTTGTTTAGTGTTAAGGAAATTGGTCCATGGTGATATCATATGTGGTAGCTGCCGCCGATTTGGAGGTTGGAGGTGAAGTTGTAAAAATTTCCTAGGTTAAGTTAAAGAAGATGATTTTGTTACAGGTTCTGGGTTTGAAGATTCCCACAAATTTTATGATTTTGTTACAGGTTCTAGGTTTGAAGATACCCATAAATTTTACTGATTTTGTTCACGTTTAATCTAGAGATTGAATATGAAGTCTTGAAAAATCCTAAAGAGTTTGTTGATTTCATTTGGTGATTGGATATGAACATCTAGATGATCGACTGCAGATTTTGATTTGTTATATATATATATATATATATATATATATATATATATATATATATATATAGAGAGAGAGAGAGAGAGAGAGAGATAGAGAGAAATTTAATTTAGTTATTTATTTTTTTATTTTTTTTAAATCTGAAAATCAGGAAAACAATTAACAAAAAAGAGAAAATCATATTAAAAAGGGTAAATTCATCATTTTGAAAAAGATCAGAATAGATTGGACCAAACAAGCAACAAAATGAAAACTTTGGACCAGTGGTGCTAGTCCAAACTTTTTTGGACTAAAGTGGCAATTTTGAGCAAACCACAAGGACCATTTGTGCAGTTTAGTCTATCACATATGTTATACACATATTTCGTGCGATATCTTGATGTTTTGAGCTGTATTTGTATTTTTCTACATTGAAATATAAAAGATGCTTATAGTTCTTCGAATTATTATTTTGTAGATTTATACTAGTATTGATGAAGCAGTGTATGATTCAATATCTAACCAAAATATATGTTTGTATAGTAAAAATTGGATTAAAAATTCCAAATTACATGTTGGAAAAAAATTAAGTTATTCCGAATTCGTATGAGTGAGTTATACGCATTTTAAATACTGAAAAAATATCAACCAAGTTCTGGTTTTTAGAACCGGGACTGGTTTTCATAAAAATGGAGAAACCGTTAATTGGACCTTATTACGACTTCTGGTTCTGGTTCTAGTTCGGTTCCGGTTCGGTTTCGGTTCCGGTTCCGACACTTCTAATCTCATCCCTAGTCTCCATTGTGTCTATTTCAACTTTAATTGATGACCCAAAGTGGTGAATCGAGTCAAATAGAAACAGAGGCCGAGACGACGAAATTTGGAATTTAACAATTAAATTGATAGTAGGGATGTAGCCAAGATAAACGCTAAGGGGTCGAGATTATCATAATTGAGAATTTGAAATATGAATCGAAAACCTCATAAAATGTTTGTGCATTATGTTTTAAAATCCAGTATCAATGGCTCATTGAAAGATTTCTGGTAAAAATTGAGAACCTACAACTGGAATATGGAATCGGAAACACAAATTCTCGAGTACATTCATGAATGGAGCTGACTGATTACGATGGAAACATTAATGGATAGTAAAAAATAGAAATAAAAATCCAAGAGAGAGAGAGAGAGAGACGATACCTTGAAAGTGGTTGACGGAGGGTGATTGGTGGTGGTCGTGGTCGTGTGTGTGTGTGTGTGTGTGTGTATATATATATATATATATATATATATATATATATATATATATATATATATATATATATATATGGGACGGTTCACTTGAGATTTAAAAAAAAAATAGAGATATTGAGATTCAATGTTAGTCACATATTTTTCATTTGCCGCTCTAATGCTACAACGTACCGACAACTACGAATTATGCCTAATCATAAATGATTATATGGCAGAGAGGTACAATAACATATGATTATACATGTTTATACATATATGCCTAATCATAGATGATATATATATATATATATATATATATATATATATATATATATATATATATATATATATATATATATATATATATGCTCATAGATTCAATAATCATATATGATTATGGTGGTTAGTCAAAAGAGGAGGTGGTGGTATATGTGACAAAGGTAGTACTGGTGGGGTTGGTTTGTAGCAAAGGTGGTGGTATTGATGCTGGCGATGACGGTTGTGGTGGTGGGGGAAAAGATGCAGGCGACACTGAAAAATTATTTTTATTATAACTCTCTACCCATTTCTTTTTTTGGCATAACATTTTTTCCATTGAAAATAAAAATCTAAATAAGCCAAAGTTCTTGAAATTTAACTCATTACAAAAAGAACACAATCATGAAAATTTGAAGAAAAAAAATATGTTTCTACTTTTTCTTTATAAGAAAACCCAGAAAAAAATTCTCCAAAAATCATAAAAAATTTAAGATATAGTTTTACTAAATATACTAGCGAATTTATAAAAGAAATCAAAAATAAGTTTTTTAAGTATTTATTTTTAATTTTAAAACATATTTGTAGCATCCTAAAAATTCCAACAATTTTTAAACCTTTCAAAACTACCCTTTTTCTAATAAATGTTTACAAAACTAGTGTTCTCAAAATATTATTTAAAAATTTAGTTCCTCCGAAGATCAATGACATAAAATCAGGATGAGTACCGACATGCCTTTTCCTTGCCACAATTCTTTGAAACACCTGAAACCATAAACAAAATATTATAAGCACAAAGTTTAGTGAGTTCTCCCAAAGTATTAACACACAACAGATAACGTATACAAACAACATTTAGTCTTACTGTAACGTTCCACCGGCATACTGTCCATCTGGAACGCCCCACCGGCATACATGGCCTTCAACATGACTGGAACGCCCCACCGGCATACTGTCCATCTGGTACACCCACACAACCTTTAGTCTTACTGTAACGTCCCTCCGATTGCAGTCTATCTGGTACGCTCACAGAACCTTCAGCATGACTGGTACGCCTCACCGGGCCTTCAACCTATCTGGAATGTTCTCTAGGCCTTCGACCTGACTGGTACGCCGTGCTGGCCTTCAGTCTATCCGGGATGCCTTGGGTCTGATGGTCTTCAGCATATATCAGGATTGCCTCAACCCAGCCACACACAACATGTCAACATATACATATGCAAAACACATATAAGCCTAGCAAATCATAAAAACATATCGATATAACATTTCCGGGTTTGTTGACTGACATCACAAAGTAGTCCCATCTTAACCCATCCACACTACAACAACATATACGTTAGGGTGCAAAGTCACACTTGGATGTATTTGTGATTTACCCTTATTGATGTTTAAATGAGTTGTCTTTCATATAAATAGGAAGTGAGTGACACTCATATTGAAGGATGATTATTTTGGAGTGTTAGACTAGAGAGAGAAATTTGTACAAACCCACTTGTATATCCTTTCTAGATCTAATATGAGCTTACACAGATTTATTTACTCATTGTGTGTTGTATTAGATGTCTAAGTCCATAACTATTATTGGTCTGTACTCCACCCGAGAGTAGCATGGTCCATTTGGGTTGCATATCATCAAAACAATTTGTTTGGATGGACTCCTGAGAGAAAAGTTATATATGATTTATTAATATATTATAAGTTATAATATATTAATATGAAATCATAGGTTTTAGTTAGTATTGATCAAGAATTAATTTGGAATTAATTTAGTGATCAAAAGAGACTAATTAAATCTATAGGGACTAATTATGATAATTAGTTATATGTATATGTGTTGGGCTTATGATCCATGTTGGACCACGTTTATGAATGGATACATAAAGAGTTGGGTCACATGAACCATGGATCATAAACCAATGGGTATGGATCTGGGTTATACCCATGACCCTTGAAATTCAATATATAAATACCTACTCTTAACCTAAAAAATGCCTACATGCTTGTTCATAGAGTTCATGCGTGTTTTTTGGTGCATGGAATTCTCTCTCAAGTTCCACCTTTATCCATGATATGTTGTGATTCCATTTGAGGCTTCCACAATATTGGGGCTAAGCTTTTAAAGGCCAAATTCATCAAGTTCTACAAGCTACACAAAGAGGTAAACTTCTAACTAGTATTTTATTTAGTTTATATCATTTGTATGCCACTTGTAGGCTTAAAGCTTTTGAAATAATATTGCACATATAATTAAAGAAAACATAGATCCAAATCTTTTAGGATTGTGTGTGCACCATCGGATGTTGTAGTATACTAAAACCCATCAGTGGTATCAGAACCATGTGTTGTTTTCTGTTATATTGATGCAAATGTTTTATTTTCAAAGTTGAAAAAAAAAAGAAAAAAAACTTGAAGTTTGTCAAATTTTAAGATAATTACTTGTTTTTGTGAAAAACTAATTATTTGTAAAATTTGAATCATTTGCTATATGAGTTCAATTAGGTTAAATTTAGTAAAAGATAAAATGATATGATTATTTTATTAGTTTTAAAATTTTGATCTAATGATTTTTTTTTGAAACCTCCATAAGTTATGGATATGAAAGTTTTTTTTTAAGAAATTTGATTCAAAGTGATTAAAAAAATTGATTCAAAGTTTTTTATGGAGTTACTAAACTTGGTGTTAATGTTTTAAAGAATTCCTTAACTTGTTCTTAGGTTATGGAACATGAAAAGTTTCATTATATAATAAGCATTTAACTCCATAAGTTATGGAATCCAAAAGTTTTCAAGAGTTACAAAACTTGCCCTCAAGTTTTTCAATTTGAAAAAAAGTTTTTTATGAAAAAAAAAATTGAATTCTAAAACTCTCTGGTTCATAACTTAAACAATTAATTAAATGGTTTTAATTTTGAATTTAATAATTGAAATTATGATGTTTTGTTGAATAGTTCAAATTAACTCTTATGCACTTTATTAATAGTTAATTAAAACATTTAATTAAAAATTATTATTAAATCCATATATATATATATATATATATATATATATATATATATATATATATATATATATATATATATATATATATGGTTTGAGTTTAATTAAATTAAAAGTCTAGTTTAATTAATATGTTAAACCACTAAGTATTTGAAATGTCTAAAATATACCCTTATACTATTATAATATTGAAAGTTTAATATATATATAAGTAAAAATCCGGTCTTATCGTTAGTAGGCCTCATTTACGAAGCCGATCTATAAGGGATGTATAAGGTTATAAAATGACAGTTTAATGGGTGTCCACTCTCACCCACCGCTTCCTTGACTAGTGGAAGGTTGTTAGCCAAACGGGTAGGATATGACTTTAATTCTCCCTTCATTAAAAGTATAATGATAAATATAAATTAACTAAACTTTATTAAATTCCCAATCTTATTTACTTTAGGAAAATGTGAATTTGGTGCTAACCCATGAAATTACACTTTGTACCTTATCAAGTCGTTGTTAGAGCATGTGTGGTTAACCGGCCCACTAACATGGACTAGTAAGAGTGGCAAAGGGTAAATTAATGTTTATCATAGATTGGTGGAGCACGTGTGGTTAACCGACACATCGATTAGGTGATAAAGTTAAGGGTACCAAATTAATTTGCATGGTTATTCACACCTTGTTTGTGATCCTTGACATCCTAGTCACAAAGTTGAGAGGGAACAACTGAGATTTAAACATGCCATTGAAAAGTTCAATGAATCTCAAAAGATCTAGGAGTTTCAATCCAATTAAAGCCCAATACCCTATTAGGTTTTCATGGTGGAAATTGGTGAATCGCCATTCGCCTACCTTCAAATATTTTATAGCTCAGATTACTGTTGGGTTTTGAGCATTCTAACACTTCCTAAGTGTACATGCAACCCTAATAACCTTGAATCTATGTTTTCTCTATATACATGCAAATTTCTTTTTCAAGGTTATTTCTTAACTAGCATGGCATGGGGATTACATAAAACATAAAGAACTAGTAGAAATACATACCTTGTTGTTGCTTGGATTCCTTCAAGACTTTGTGAGCCTAGCACCCCAAATGTTGTGCCTCAAATGCTTCACACAACACCACAAAACTTGGAATAACTTGAGAGAATATTTCTTACACTCAAAAATCGGTTATGCCCTCTCTAGTAACACTAGTGCCAATTTTTCATGTTATAGGGTTTCTTTTATAGTGTGTCATAATTAGGAGTTACAAATATAAACCCTAATTGTCATGACTCTTCATTTCTCATGACCCATGGGTTTGTAACTCCCATGGACTATCCATGGAGCTCCATATGGTTATAACCAATTGTAACGCCCGTGTTTCTAGGCTTGCCATTTTTAGCAATGTAATAGTCTAGGTTAACCTTGTAACTCAACTTGAAATAATAAGAATGTATTATTTGTGAATTATTTGAATTATGTGATTTATGTGTGTATTTTCTTAATTTTTATAATTTAATGAATTAAGAATAAAATAAGCATCGAAATTTAAGTGTGAGATAAGCCCGACATCTTTGCATAAAGTTGTAGTGGTCGAAACAAGCATTCCGAAGATATAAGGAATGCCAAAATCCGAGTTATAACGAAG